TTTCTACAGTCAAAATGTAACATAGGAGACTATTTAGGGCGTTGACACATCTCTGCTTACCTGTGTAGCTGGCATGTCTTTGAAGGGAACGTGTCCATTGGCTAGTTCACAGGCTGTGATGCCGAGGCTGTAGATGTCTGATCGAGAGTCATAGCCCTGGAGATTCTTCAAAGAAATCAAATAGAAACTGTCAGTTTCATCTGTACCCTTCTTCTCATTTTCGTTGTGCGTGTAACATGAAAACTATAGTTCTGCAGCCTCTAACACTGACTGCACAACAGCATTCACAGTGTTGAAAAATGTAGTACCTGTTGCAGCACTTCGGGACTAAGCCACGGCAGCACGTTAACGCTATACTGGGGGAAGTCGTGGACCACTTTGGCCCTTTGGCCATGTCGAATGAGGCTAAAGATGCTCCGCAGACCTGACATGCACACTTGTCCATCTGCAGAGATCAAAACGTGGCTGGCCTTCACACTCCTGCATAACCAAAACATTTAAAATAATCAATATCGTATCAGGTGTGAATGCTTGTAATTTAATGACAAGGTAATATAAATTAAACCACATGCTTGTCTTACCGGTGCACATATCCCATATGATGAATGTATTCAAGAGCTTTGAGCATGCCTAGCAAAATGTATGCTATAGTCAGCTCACTCATACCATCTGTAAAATGTGTGCAGATGAGATCTCTGGCTGACCCTGCAAGATTCAAAAACAGATGATCGTGATTAGAAAGCTCTCCCACATTAGCAGAGGCCGCTTCATGAATTGTTAACATAAATTTAGTTGCATAACGTATGAGAAACAGCAATAAGGTAAGAAATTGGATTTCTTACCATAAGCCATGAAAGGTGTGATGACCCATAATTCATTTTCAGCTATAAAGACGCTCTTGTATGGTAGAATACTGGGGTGGTGAAACAACTTTGACACATGTAGTTCACCCTGTGAGACAGAAAGGAAACTACATCTTATTATGTCAAAACGAAAGATGGGGAGGAGAAGATTACATAAAATGTAACAGACTACGAGGCTGGCAAACAGATAAATTCTCAATAAACTAAATTTCACTAAAATGAAGTATGGGGAGGAGGGTGACATCAGAGTCAAGTCATGCACACTGAAGGCATTGAGCGATTCAAACCTGCAGGTAGGTAACCATGTCATTAGTACATGACTCCAAGTCAATCCGTCGGATGGCCACATGCTCCCCAGTGGGTCTATATCGAGCCAGGTTAACAGTCATTAAATTGTCCAAGCCCCGACCTGCAAGACAATATTCAAATCACTGAGACAAAGGCTATGTCCACACGTACCCGGGTATTTTTGAAAACGCAGATTTTTCTATGC